CGACATTGTCCTTTCATATATAAAGATTTTTGATTTAAAATGAATAATTTAATATGAACTATAAGAAATGACTGTGGAAGAAATGCACGAAAGTTATCTGTAACCAATCAACACACTTTCTACAAGATGTAATGAAGGATGATTCTTTTTTGTGTTTTTGTTCAATTAAAATAAAAACACATTTCAAAAATAAAAACTTCTTTCACTTTATTACATAAACATAGACAAGCTTTACTCCCATGGTCCAATTCTTAGAATGCAGAATACATCTGTCAGGAGACAACTGTCAGCAGCAGTCAAGGTATGCCTTGGTCCAAAAGAGTTTCAAAAATTGCAGGAACCAGTCCCAAAGCTTGAATCAGCAATTCCACCTAGAATCTATTTATTAGGTTTCATAGGATTACAGATCCAGAACCCCAATGTTATATTTTTTAGACATTATTTCTTTTCATTAAAAATAAATAGGTAATGAAGCACATACAGATAAGCAATGTGAGAAAACCTTGCAAATTTAGATATATCCATTAACCAAGAAGCACAAGTTGTTGGTTTTTTTAAACAAAAAACTCAATCTTCAATCCTCAGCCTATCAGATTGTCTCTTCCAAATCAACAGGAAGAATGAAAGAACTATATTAAGTTCAAATACTAAATTTTGTTAGTATTTTTTTTAATGAACAGGAAATGTTTGGGACATTATGTATCCAGAGAGAATATAATGAGAAACAGCATTAGCAAAGAGCAATGATACATGTCAGGACTTGTGAGGGAGTACTCTATTGAGTATATTAACATTAAAAACCAAATCAATCCAAAGAATAGAACTCTTCAAAATAAGTTTCATTTTTCTTTTCCTATACTTAAATGGAATAATATTATCACCATCCTTAAAAGTTTGAAAAACAACTAACAATGCCTGAAAAACTAATAAAATAATGTAAAAGACTGAAGATAAAATGTGACATATTTTTTCACTTTAAACATTTTAAATTAAATCAACATGACACAGACAATTATAGATAAAACAACTTAGTATGGCATAAAATCATGCCAAAAAGATCCTAGATATGCCTCAACATAAATATTCTACTAATTCTATTATCAGATTTACAAAAATATTTTCCACTATTTATTTATTCCAAGCAAAAGTAAACAGTTAACTTTACTCATTTATTCTAGTCATTACTAAGTACTGAAGTGTGAAAGAACAACTATTTACTTAATATTATATAGCATTACTTTGCCTGGCAACACATTCTAAGAATGATTTGACTCGGAGACACATAATAAAAATGAAAGATCTTCCACTAACTAGTCTAGTAACCTGGCCAATAGCATTTTGGCAATACTGAAAATCTTGATTAATTCTGAACATCAGTGGGCTGACTTGATTTATAAAAGAAATGATGCTTTAGTTGAATAGAAAGAACAAAAAAAAAATTGCACTTTTTTTTAAAAAAAAAACCAAGACCGTAATTAAATGCAACCCAACTTGTATTTAATTAGAATGTCAGTATTTTTTGCAAGCCTGATATTGACACATTATCCTTTCAACCATTGTTCACTTCTGTGCTGAATTGTTTTTCTTTTAAGAACCCTATAATCCCTTAATTTGGGAGAGAGTCAGGGCAGCTGAATGGAGCTGAATGTTTACTGGCCAGATGCCCTTCCTGATGCCTATATGGAGTTTGCAGCAGTTATTTACTCTTTGAGCCCCGAGAAACATCCGCCACTACCTAGGATTGAACTTTCAACTTTCTGAGTGGGAGACAAGCATCTTCACCACTCGGCCACCATGCTACTCTTCTGTGCTGAATTCTGGATGTGCATTTTTAAAATTCTATCCAAAACTCTTTCACAATGTACATCAATTCTATGACCATATTTTTGGAACTATCAACACTAGATTAATTATATATTTTATATGTGGCCCAAGACAATTCTTCTTTACTCAATACAACCCAGGCAAGCCAAAAGATTGGACATCCTTGCTTTATGAAATGTTTACAAATAACTATTTAATGTTCTGGATTTAACAGTAAAATCTTTTTCTGGTATGATATTAATGTAATTCAACCTACGTATAGTATTTCCAGCAAATGTCTTAAGTGCATTGTAGAGCATTAAATTAAGTAACACTGAGCTACCTGTGAGATCAGTTCCTTCAGGAAAGATGAGGAGCTGTAGGGGTTCATGGATATCACAAAAATAATCCAGCATATTTCCAAAATGATGTTTGTCTTCTTCCCATTTCCTCTGAATGAAAATGAAGGCAGCAACCTGCATGGCCCAACCTAAAACAAATTTGAAGAATTTCTTAAACACTGAATTAGTTATTTATTTGGATGGTTCCTGAACATGATTTATATTCCCAAAGTATACAAAGATGCTTGAATATAAGAACTAAACATATTTCTTAGTAAAAATATATCATAGTGTCTATGATTATATTAAAAACATAAAGATGTTGAGATATGCTGCTAAAACCTGTGGAAAAGCAAAACTTGTGTTAACTGTTTGTTTTTAAAATCAAATCTGCATTCATACAACAAAATGTTGCAGCAACAATGGCTTGATCCCAAAGAATTTCTTCCTATAAATTATTTTAAGAAAATGTTTCATAATCTATTTTTAAGGAGACTTTGAAGGGGGTACAGGAAAAAATGATCCCCCTTTCCCATTCTGCTAATGTTAAGGGCTAATTAGAAACTTATATTTCTACTGGAATAAATTCTACATTTTGTTTCTCAGGGATGATTTTAAGAGGAAACAGATGTCTAACCAAACTGTCAAAGTTTGCAAAAAAATGCATGCTATTACTTCTATTTTCCTTCTAAACTGAGTTTAAACATTAAATCCTTCAACATTATGAAATATACATGAGTCTAAGCACATTAGAGAATTAGATATTAAGTATAGAACTATCACATTATTATTGTTTTAAAAAAGGCAAAAAAAATTAGCAGGGCCATTTCAACCCATTCCAAATTCTATTTCTATTAGTAGACTTCTGCATTATTTAACATTTACCATTTCTACTGTTATTAATAACTGAATAATTTCATTTTCCAATTTAGTGCCCTCAGGATGTATTGGTACTATAACTTCTAAAATTCTGGGGAATTTTCTCAACTCCAACACAGCTGAAACCATCCAAAGTTCAGGTGAAGCTGATCTTGTGGTTCATCACATTTCAATTGTTTTTTTTTTAAATTTATTATAAAGCAGCCAGATACTTGATATTTCCCTACAGCCAAATAATTCCTCAAAATTATATGCATACTATAAACCATAGATACCATCTTATATGTTATAAAGCAGCAATCACCAATCTTTCCTGCATGATGGACCAGCAGTAGAGGGGGAGGAGAAGGGATGGTTTTGTACGTTCATGTGCCACTTGTGCAAATGCAACTTTGCACACTTGCCCACCAGTTGCCCACCCCAGTTCCCAATGGGCCACAGCCCGGACCAGAGGTTGGGGGTCTTTGTTATAAAGTATAGAGATTGGTCTACAGATCAGTTTTTGTAGCACCTTAGTGTTGATGAGGCAAAACAAGCTTGTTTCACGAATATTTCTGAAAACCAAAAATTACACATATATACACACACAGACAATATTTGGGAAAGTGGCTGTACAATCAGTTCTAGGCCAAACTTCAGTGCTGGATTGCAACAACCAAGAGGGAAACTAGAAGAAATCTTATCAAAATGCTTAAAACGAAATTGTGATTTAAATGATTTTTGTTCATTGAAATTACTATTGATGCCATTTCTTCTAACAAAGCTTTCACTGAAAAAAATGGATTGAGATTTAAACTTGATTAATTATCAAATTAGATAACATGCATCTAATGTATTTACCTCTTATTTTCCATTTCTCTAAAACTCATGTTCTTTCCCCTTATCTGGATCAGCATTAAAATTCATATTGAAAAAAAATGGTATCCAAATTTCTGGTGTAAACAATTCAGTAAAAATGATAACATTATAAGGAACACTTTCCAGCATGTGGACTCAAAGCTAATTCACAATATAAATAACTTTAAGTAACTCTAAGTCTGACAGCTCCTGATAGAATTGCTGGAAGACATCATATGACACTGTTGATCAGACTCTCACTTAAAAAGGTCATCACCTACAATCCACAAGCTATTTATACAAAGTTTAAAGGAACACAGGACGGATACACACACACACACACACACACACACACACACACACACACAAACAAAACCTTTGACTCTATTCAGATATTGGCTTGTATGGTATAACAACAGACTTCTCTCTAAGGAATTATGGATATGTACAAGCATAGTGACAAATTCAAGCAAAATACAAGGCAATTTCTGGTTGGGAAATCACTTTAAATATAAGTGGACTGTTGCAAAATAAACTGTTGTTTGAACAGTATATGGACTCCTATTTGCAAGGATTTTATTGCACAACCCATCTTCCTATCTATTCCATCTTAACAAACAGGTATTTCTAAATTATTCTCACATTCCAAATTGCTTTGTCTTTATTCCCATGTTTCTTTCCTTACATTTCTGTTCAAATCACCTTTTACACTTTCTCTCCCTTAATTAGCCTTAATTATTTATCTGGTACTAACATTCTTTACTTTCTCCCAACAGGTGAGGGAAAATTCTTTAGCTCTCAGGTACATGTTCTATGGCTAGGCACATTCTTACCTCTTCACACTGACAACACTTTGAGCTTGTTGGTGACTCTGTTCGAGGTGCTATCTCAGCTACTGCTGTGTATTTTTAGGAAGGAGCATCCTGATTTGCTCCCATGTCACCATCACCAGCTTTCACATTAAAGGTACCATAACCCATTATGTTGTACTTGGACACACTATGTCATATCGTCAGTCAACCAGAAACTCTTTGGCCTCTTTTCTTTGGGCACCACAATCATTGTGCCACCTTCTCTTCAACAAATAGCAGCTACCATATTTTTCGGAGTATGAGATGCACCTTTTTCCCTCAAAAAAGTGGGTGAAAATCTGGGTGCGTCTTATATATAGAATACAGCATTTTTGGCCTAACGAAACCCTGCTCCCTTTGCAAAAATGGACATGCAGAGGGCTTGGGAGGCTTGCAAAATGCTCCGGAGAGCTGGGGAGGGGAAAAAACGAGACCCCAGGAACACTTGAAGAGCCTCCCAAAACTCTGCATGCCCCTTTTTATGCAAAAACCGGCCTGTTTTTGCAAAAAATGGCCTGTTTTTTGCNCTCTGTGTTCCTCTCACTCTCTGTCTGTCTCTCTCTCATTCACACACACACACAAACACACACACACACACACAGAGACACGCATATACTGTGGTCACCTTGTTGAGTGTTCTAATCACATTTGAAACCTCAACACCTGGCCTGCATTTATGGTTTTTTGCAGTCATAGGACCAAAATATATGGTTAAAACTACCTGGCAGCAGCGTTTTCCCCTGGGGGGCTCCGCAGAACATTCCAAAACCGATGCCACCACATTTGTCCTCTTCAGGGACAGGTCCTCTTCAGAAGGATGAGGTCCCCTGACGTTCATCTTCCGGCCGCAGCTCCACACATGGAAAACATAAGCGCACGCACACCCGCACAATTACAGCCCGGAGCAGGACCAAAGCCCCTCTCCCAACTGGCCCTTCCTCCTTCAGAGGGCATCTCAGAGGGAAGCTTCTCACCTGGGCGAGTGAGAACAAGTTCCCGCCGTTACGAAGTCTCCGAGGCTGTAATTGTACGGGTGTGTGTGCGCACATCTATGTTTTCCATGGTGTGGAGCCGCGGTGAGGCTCTGCGCGGCCGACGATGACTCCAGAGCCCCCACCCTCCACTGAAACTTTTCCATTTCCCAGAGCTATAGTGAACTTCATTCCTTTATGTGACTTAGAGAAGATCCAGTGCAGACATATTCCTTAATAAATAAACTAACATTATTCCACTGAAACAAGTGGAATTTTATGCTACGTAATGATATTAACCAGAATTTTATCTCTGTCATACATTTCAGAAAAGAGTGGATATTAATATATGTAAACAAAATACTTGATTAGTTGTATTTCTTGCATGCAGCAGGTACCTCAATAAACTTCATGTAATAAAAATGTACCCAAGACACTTTGAGGAAAGAATATGAATCAACTACCTTCCTATAATGGCTCTGATTCAGAAGAGGAAAGGGCATTCATGATCTCATTGCTAATATATGATGAATAATGGAAAAGCAAGTCAAAATACATATATTTTTGCTGCATTAATTATACTAATACATTTGACTCTGTAAACACAGTAAGGTCTTTGCCTTGGTTCAATTTTTATACCAAGCAACTGTAGCCCCAACTTGTTTTGTATTGTTTTATTACATTAAAATCCACTCCAAGTTCAGAGTCAGGCAGGACCCAAATTTAAATAAATAAACAGGATTACATTTAAACACTTCCCACCCTATCTGCCTATTGAGAAAATTGCATGATGATCAGGAAAGAATAGTTGGAATTGTATACATATCATTTAAATAATGTAAAAGAGGGAAACATGTACATTAAGGTTCCATGTACAGTCACCAAATTTACTTAACTTACAGGAAGAATGCACCATGGGAAATGGAAGAAATAACAACAGGAATTAAATTTATTTGATGAAGCATCAATCTCAGACATTCTGGTAATAATACTGAGATGGCTAGATGGCTAGAAATAAAGAAGACTTAAGGAATTTCTTGCTGAAGGTGAGAGAGATTAAAAAGCCAGCCTGCTGTTCAGTATTAAAAACAGACTATAAGATTATGCCAACTGACCAAGTTAAATAGCAGAGAAGAACCTACAGTAGCAAAGACTTTAATTTCGTAGGCTTAAATTTTCACTATAATGAAATAAAAAACCTTCTCTTAACTGGGAGAAAAACTATGTTAGAATGAGACATGCCTGTGAAAACTGAATGAAAACAAACTGATATCTCTAAATTGTGATACTGGAGTAGATTGATTAAAAATAATTCAATGGCCTGCAAGAAAAATGAATCATTCAATCCTAGATGAAAAGTGCTCATTTTAAGCACTTATAATGAAGCAAAATAGATATTTTGAACACACAATAAGAAGACATGGACACTTGAGGTGTTTTTGAACATTTAGAAACACCAAAAACCATCGGAAAAGAGGCTAACAGAATACATAATGCCTACATTGTACTTTTTTTATAAAATTGCACAAATCTATGAAAGTTGTTAAAAGCTCATGCAAGCATGAACTTTTAAGAAATAACAGTCACTGACACATGATGGCGAAATGATGT